AAAGCTGTATTGATTTAAAAATTATTGAAATATCTGAAGAAATACGCAATGTTATTATATATTATTATATTAATAGTGAAGATGCTGAAAAAATATGCTGATTCTATTATGAGCTACTCTAGTCTAGTGTATAACTTAATTTAGTATTTAGTACTGAAACAATTAAACAACAACAACCAAAATTAGTCAAAAAAAAAGGAGTTGTATACAATACATTATTATGAATTATCATGATAATGCTATGACATACATATATTTGATGACTCGGGACAAATTGTCGGAACTTGATTGAGAAGTTTTGACTCATTCCCGGTATAGTCCAGAACTTGCACCATCAGTTTGCCAATAATTTATGTCTCTACAGAACTTTCTTAATGTTAAAAAATTGCCTGACTAAAGAGCCGCTGAAAATTGCTTTGTCAAGTTTACCGCCGATAAACCATAAAAGTTCTATACCTATGGAATTATAAAGCTACCCAAAAAATGGCAGGAGGTCATAAGGAATAATTTATCATCGATAAACCACAGGAATTCTACACCGATGAAATGTTTCGTGTAGCACATAAATAAAAACTTCATTGAAATTGATTTACAATAAAAAAAATATATTTTAAAAATGTGATTATATATACATATATAATTACAGAAAAAAAAGTTGTGCTATAAAATAGGAGATATATTCTTGGTTTTGGTACCATATGGTACGTTCATATAGTATATGACAAATATAATTTTTATTGGAAATATAACATATAAGCCATTACTATTTATGATATCTTACCATTTTTTGGATATTTTATATATATATATTATATCTTAAAGACTGTTAAAATATAAGAATAATTGTTATAATATAATAATTATTGTTAAAATATAAAAATGAAATATAAATACAAGATTTATCTATACAATATTGCATTCGGTACAATATACATGCATATTTTGTTGCAGTAAAATCTTATTTGAACAATATAAAATTCAACATTATTATATTGTGTTACTGTAATTTTACAGTCGAGCGCTTTGAATAATAATTTGATATTAAATGTAATCAACACAAAATATTCGATTTCGAACCATTGAAAAAATCAGCATACTTTGAATATATAACAAGTAGTTTTAAGTTCTTTTTGCACTTGAAAAAGAAAGAAAAAAACTCGTCTCTACAGAAAGATATTTCTATATTTTTTACTTGCCAGATTGCAGTAAGAACGATGCGTTTTTAAATATTTTTTAAATTTATTTTAATAAAATTTTTTTTCATTATATTGATTCACTTTTCTCACCTCTTGACTTGTGCAATATTTAAATTACTGTTTCAACTGAGGTAGAAGCCATTAAAGACAGGCAGTCTTAATTCTTCAGAATATGCTCTCCGCCATATTTCCATTGGAATGAACGTATTTCATGTGCTTATGCACATTGTAACGCATTTAAAGTATCTGTTGAGTGGTGTAGAATGGCACGTGTGCTTCATAGAAACAAACTCACACAGTTACACATACCAGTTCACACACCCGCATAACAGCGTTAGTAATAAAAGCAAGTCTGAGAATTTAAACAATTAAATCGTTGAGGGTTTCAAAATTTTCAACATTGAGCTGTTAAGTATTTTTTGTAGAATTTATACCAAATTTCAACAGAAATTTAACTTCACAAAAGAACACAGACACACACACACGCACAAACCTAAGAGCAAATAACATTACGGCGACACGTAACTTTGATTAATGAGCCACATTCAAGGCACATTCAAAGCACATTCAAGGCACATTCAAAGCACATACAAGGCACATTCGATGCGCATTCAAGGCACTTCGCTGTTTCAGATTTTTCTCCGATTGTTTGCAATAACGACGGTTGCTATTTTTCAATTTATTTATTAATAATAATAGAAAATCTTTTTTAGAAAAATTGTCAAGCTTTAGGAGTAAACGTGATGCGGTGTACGTTGTGTGAAAGTAATTAATTAACAAACTTAGTTTACCTCAATGAAAAAACATTATTTTGCTTTTTGTTGTTTACAATTCATGGGCCTTCATCAGACCCATTAAAAAGTTATTGATATGTTAAGTGGCTTTTGGTAATGTTTAGTTAAATATTTACATTGATTTCAAATTATTTTTCCGTTTAAAAAATTTCGATTTAACAGAATGTCAATAAATTTTATTATTTATTTATTATTTATAAATAAATAATAAAGCATAAAAAAAACCAAATATTTAATGTTGGTTTATCAAAAATTTGACTTAGTTTTCTTTAAAACAAAATTTTAGAAGTTTTAAGCCAAAAAATGTGTTAAATATTTTGACTGTCGACATTTTAAGACAATTTTGTGACAGTTATTGCGTTTAAGTCTTAAACCAATTTAGCTCAAATCAAGAAGAACAGTCAAATATAAACCCAAGACCTGATTAAATATTTCAAATGAAATTAAATTTTAAAATATCTTAAAAATAAATTAAAAATCAAATTGTTAAGGTACAGCTTTAGCCATGAAAATGTAATAGGGCTGTAATGATAATTAACTTTACTTCTTTTGCTACTATCTAATATCTAAATTTTGGTTAAACATATATGTTAACTATAACGTTGCGATTCCTAATTCCTAAGTACGGATTTTAGCAAAGACAGTTATTTTGAACAACTTTTATCGTTATACTATATAACGATATGGTTTAGTGCTCGAGTTATCGGCTTTAAAAGTTGGAAACTTTCACAGGAAAACCACCTGTGAATATTATATGTTTCAGTTCTGTTATAAGTACATTTCACATAAGAACATTATTATAGCAATTCTTGGATCAATTGGACCTGTATAAATTATAATTTCAAATTTTAATTAAACACAATTACCATATGTACATACTGATTTCAAAGATCTTTCTTTGGCAATCGTTTATAGCAAATAAAAAAAATCGAATATGCAACGAAATATCAACAGAAACTAAAGAGCTGCAAAAATGAGTTCATATTCCATTAACAAGTATCCCAAGAGTTTTTGTGATGAAGTGTGGACAAGCTGCAGTTGCAATGAATTATGTATGAAATAAATCAAACTTGCTGAACTACCAGTTTTTAAAATATGAAAAAAAAATACTCTTGAAATTATTTATTTCAGAATTATAAACAGAATTTTTGCGTATGGTTTTGCCGTTCTGAGTATTTGTGGTATTCTGAAGCATACGCATGCATAACGATCAAATATATATTCCAGTAAAATTTTAAGTCAATAAAAAGCTTCTTTTAAGATTAAATTTCGATTGTGAAAAACTGGTATTTGCAATTCGCGGTCCGCAAATGGCACTTCACCATGCACATGGTTTGCATTTACAAACTCATATGATAAGATATATGGAAAAAGGTAGATCTTTCATTAAATACTGCGCATGGATTACTAATGAAGTAATAAAGCAAGTTGTGCGGAATTTAATCAAAATAAATAAGTGCACTTCAGCTTATCAGTAGCCAACCAATTCTGTGAAGGATATGAAAATGATTTTTATACTATAAAACTTTATCTGGCGAAAAGTAATAATATATCATGAAACTTTATATACTTTTCACTACCTATATGTTCACTTGAGGTTAATGAGATACTTTCGTTTGTGGCCTTGGTTGCAATTGCAATTATAAAATAATAATTAACTGTATGAAAGCAAGAGTTTTTATATAATTTTAAAGAATTTTTGTGAAAATTTGAAAATTCAAATGCATTCTTCAGAAATGTTTTATAAAGAAAACTTTATAAAAATATGGTATTTAAAAAATATTATGATAATAACTAAAATATATAAAAATATTTTAGACATACCGTATTTTATAGATACTTTAGTACAACCGAATAGGATACAAAAATCGAAGCAATTCTAGTAATATGTTAATGAAGAACATTTAAAATATTACTATACTTTATAAAACTCACCAAATATTTTCGCATTATGAATGTGATCAGTTCACTAGTAAGTGGTATATTTTGGAAAACATTCATATAAATATTAATACCAAAGCAAATCCTGGAAATTAATTGCCAATATATGTGTTTTTAGGTAATCACATGTGCTCATTATTCGTATTTAAAATTGTAAAATTGCGGGTTTTACATTACATAGGTAAAAATGCGCTACAGATCGTGTTTCAAGTTATTCGTGGTAACGTAATTTGGTCTGTCAGGATCGAATCTTTGAAAGTTTTATTAAATTCACAAATTCACAAGAATAAAATAGTAAAAAACTCGAGCTTATTGTACGCATCGTAAATTGAGGAAATGCTGGCTTAATTTGTTGACATTTATGTTAACATATATGGTGGGAAATTTTATTCAGCTTTGAGGCTTAGTTCTTTTTGTATTTGGTTCATTAGCAAAATTGTCGAATTAAAACCTAGGATGATCTAGTTACTAAAAAATTACAAGTTATTATGGAAAAACACTTTGCACATGCTAGAAGAAATAACAGAAAATTGAAGGCTCAGTATGTTTTCCTTAGATGCTTAAGCAACAACTCGAATTTGTTGAGCTTGTCAGAATTAGTTCAAATAAATTAATATACAACTAAAAAATATTCAGTAAACTTTTGTTGTTATTGGCTTTTACTACTATTTAAAATTTTTTAATTTAAATGCTTAAATTTGAAACTATAATAATAAAATCAAATCAAACTATTAAATTATTAGACGATTTAATTGTTATCACTCCTTTAGAAATTAATGGACTAGATAATTTAGTTTTTAGACATCAAGGGACATGACTTCATCACTGCTATTATTATTTCACCTTCTCATGCTTTTAATTTTTTTAGCTAATAGCTTGTTAGTTTTCCATTTGTATTAACAAAATAATATTAGCTTAAATAATATCAAAACATAATTTTGTTATAATAATTTTCAATGCATTCATTGCTTTGCAATCAATAATAGAATAAATATTGTTTCAGTTTAAAATTACTTTAAGACAATTAAAAATGTTTTATGATTAAATAAAAATTTATTTTCGCTGATAGGTGGATATATTGGATACATCAGGTGATATGCAATTCCCAGCAATGCGAAGACTTTCCATTGCTACAGCACATGCTTTCATGCTCGTTTATGCATCCACATCAGCTCAGAGCTTTCAGTGCGTTCAACAGTGTTTCGAGGAGATACGTGAACAAAGAGCTGATTTCCAGGTAAATGAATTGATTATTAATTTATTCACAACATAAACATTTTTAATCATTATATATAATCACATATTACAAAAACTTACACACACGTACATATACACTTACATACAAGCAATTAATTCCACGAGCACTCCATGTTATTTTACATGTAAAGAAAATATTTCGTGTGCAATAAATATTGAGATATTTTTATAAAAATAAAGAGGAAATACAACTAAATGTAGATTTATTTAACGCCATTAGAGCGTAAAGTTCAACCGGGCGTATGAGTAATTTCGAATGCATTAGAAATAGCAAAAACAAATTCAATCGTCTATGGCTTAATAACATTAAATGTTTTTAGTATATTGTAAAAAATTGTTAATTGACTTTCAAAAATCAAAGAAAAAAAGCAACAAACCATCATTTTTAACATTTTACACACTACCACACATAAATTATTTATGTTTTTATTTTTATGATGTATAAAGTATATTTTATCATAAAAACCACACAACAGCGGGAAGGGTAAAAAAAAATATTAAATAAATGTTTTGCATTTTTACTCGCATAGGATGTACCTATTGTTATTGCTGGCAATAAATCTGATTTGGCTACAACTCACAGGGAGGTCAGAGTAGAAGAAGTCACCGATTGGGTGTACTGTGAATTGCCCAGATTGCGGTGAGTTATTTATTTTCGAAATATTTTTTCTGTAAATTGTTGCATTTTTCTATTTTCTCTTTTTTTTTCGTTGCATATTTGCAAAAAATATTTTAATTTATTTTTTAAAGAATAATTTTTGCTCATATGCATAAAAATATGTTTAGTTAACAGTTTTATATAAAAATTGAATTCAATCAAAAACAAAGCGATTTGTTGATAGTTAATTTGCATAATTTTGTTGTTAACTGCACAAATCAACTGATTATGCTAATTTAAATATGAACTTTGAAATATGTATGCAAAAACACATTCTCATAGCAGTCGTTGCACACTACCGTTCAATAAATAATTGTGATAGTGGCAATAAGGTATTATAGAAACAATTTGAAAATTGTCTGTAAATTATCAATAATGTGTTATTAATATATTTTTTTTTAAATGTTATTTAAATATAATAAAAGCAATTATTAAATAAAATTTACCTCACAAGCAACTAAAGCCAATAATTTTGATATGCATGTACATAAAACGATTAGGTTATAACAGAATGAGGATTAAAAAGTAATAAGCTTAAAATGTAAAGAAAAGATTAAAAAACACCAATGGTTTTTTGCAGTAAAAATAGCTTTTCAACTTTTATCAACATATAAAATTCATATACGAATAAATAATCTCTTTAAATAATATCAAATTCATGTAGCACAAAAACTGTTAATGTATTCTTTACATATAAACATTTGCCAAATGAAATCAAATTAAATCTATCATCAAGTTTCAGAAAGTACATATATAAGTAAATTTCAAATTACTATGTAACTATATATCAATTGAAAAAACCGACTGCAGTTAATAAACATTTTTGCTGCTTTGTTATACATCATTAATCATCATTAACGTTAAACCACATCCATCTTTGAAGAGTTAGAAAAAACTGAAAGAGTTAAGCTGTCTGATTTTGACACATTTTTTGTATAACTCAGAATGCAACATTTTGTTATTATTTTTTTATGTATCTTTAAATCTAAATTTATTATAAGAAAACTGTAGAAATCATTTTTGGCAATCTTCGTTTTTTTGCACATGAATTTTACACATGATAAAATTATCACTTCACTTTACAAATAAAAAAAAAGAATTTAAATAATAAAACATATAAATATAAATACGCAAAATACATAAGTAATAAAAAATATGCAAAAAAAAATAATAAAATAAAATAAAATTTGAAATCAAATATAAAAAAACCTTCTAATACCAAGAGAAAAATATTTAATTAATATTTGCACCTTTGTTTTGGCTTTTCCTTAAACCAAAACTTGATTTTTTAAACCTTAATTAAGCCAATGATATCCGCCCATATGAGTTCTTGGAGTGACCTAATGCCACTTAAGTCCAGTTAATTATTTCTAATAGATTTATTTCAATTAAAAAATAGGACGTACCGCTATAAATATGTCTATACTACCAAATACGATGCTTGAAAACTGTTCTCGTGTGAAAGTAAATATCTAAATTTCTGTGCATGATAAGAAATATAGAGCCACTAAAGTGGAGACAAATATAAAAACTTAAAGTAAATGCCTACCTAAATGCCTAAAGCCACAAAATTTACAGAAATGTAGAAATGACGTCTTTGATTAAAGGGATGCTGTGGTTATGAATCCAGTTGAGACTATATTCTATCATAAAGTTCCTCATCTGACATATGACAACGAATCATTATTTGTACTTAGCTAAGTTTTGATGCATAAGAGGCCACCGCAAACCAACTAAATCTATAATCGTAGTTGAAACTATTAGTAAAAATGTATATCGTGATATATATCAATAGAAAATATCTGCACGAATGTTTCCTTTGCTGGGTTTCAATTGAAGTTACTAAAACTACTAAAGGTATACAAAATCCACTTAAATTTGCCGCTAAATTTTTTTATGATCAAAAGTTGAGTTTTTTTTTCTAAGCTTTAAAAACAAAAATATTCATACAAAATATAATCCCTAAAAGATGATCATAAAAAATATTTATCGTTTAGCTTTGACTAAAAATCATTTAAATTTAACATTAAACTACAACCCTTATAATAATTTATAGAATTATAATTTGCTAGTGAAAAAAGATTTATTTCACAAAAACTACAAAAAACTAACGTCTACCATTAAAAAACTTTAAATTTTTTCGTCCTTGAAGAGTCAGAGTACAGCGCACTACACATAAAATAAAGTGGTTAGCATTTTTCGTATGTAGGTCGTGTGCTCTTTAAACAAGACGATTTATTACTTTCATGTCAGAAGGAAATATTTTTGCAATATAGAAAAACTGTTGCCAAAATGTCATAATAGCTTTTTAAACATATTTGCTGACTACGCAATTGGGTGTGAGAGTTTTTGGCACGTTGAACTCAAGTAATCTGTAAACCGATTAAAAATTTGCATTTTTATACTCTTGGCTTTGTTACTATAATATGTGCGAATCACAGTGCGTATACGTAACATTTCCGCTTGTAAATATAAAGTTCTGTTTGTATATGTGACATAGTTTCAATAGCTTGTTTAAAATATTATGGAAATATTGGCGGCTTATGGTATAATAAATATATGCGATATCCGAATTTAACGTTATTTGCATAATCAAAACGTTAAAGAAGAAATTATGGACAAAAATCAATTTATATTTTATTCTTTTTCATATTTTCCAGTTTTTTTTTTTTGAAAAGCTCTTGTACGTTTTAATTTGCATTTTAAACAGTATCAAATTATAAATATTTTTTATATTTAATATGTATTTTAAGGAAAAAGGTTATTTTGTAATGATAAGATTATATGCAAAAAACAACTAAAGAAGATATGTAATATTGATTTAAAAAAGTAATCACATGAATTTTAGTAAGCTCCAAATAGAAACTGTGGTTTAGATCTGTTCTTCATCATAAATATATTTCCTATATATTTAATATTATTTTATGTAATTTTAGCAACAAGATATTTGTCTTCCTTAAAAGAACTTGAACTTAACGTAGTTGCCCAATTTACTGCGAATTTAAGACGACTCTAGCGTCAATTAGTTTGGCACTTCCACTCGTTGATCAGTATCATGGATATTATTGTTCATTTTTGATATAATAACTACAATTAAGCATCCAGAATAGAATAGATTACAGTTAGATGATAGACTATATTTAAATTAAGTTACATATACTGGTGATGTTTTCCGAACTCAGCTTTGATTTCCGTCTTTAAAATTACTATAGATGTTTGATTAAAGCACTTGACATGATTGTATCAGTTCAATTATTTTTATAAATAAAATCACACAATAAATTCTATTTAGAGTTTAATAGTTGAAGAATACTAATTGGCACCAAATAATGCGACAAGACTCTATGAATGCCTTTTAAGACATGTTCTTACAAGTTATGGATTTATTTTAAAAACATGAAATTGTTTCGTGCTTTCAAATGGAATTTCATCAAAAGTTCTTATAAATTTTCTATATAAAATTTATTTTTTTAAAACTGTAATAAAAAAACGGTTTTTACATATAGATAAATGTTGTAGATTAGTTTTCATGATACCTAAATTTGCAATATATGTTAATAAAAAGAAAAAAAATTAAAGTATGTAATTATATAAAATGAGCATTTTGCACGATTTAATCCAAAAATAAAAAAATTATTTACAAAATAATGCGAAATAGCAATTGAGAGCAGGAAAATATTTTAAATAACAAAAAAAAGAGAACTTAAGCAATAAACAAACTTAAAAATGTGTTGCAGTTTAACAACAAAGGCGGCCATACTAATAACAACAAAATAAAAAGTAAAATTTCGCAATTATGAAATGCAATTAAACTGAATTAAACGCAAGCAACTGCAAATTTCATAAAAGCCAACGTCCGTTGTTGCATGCAATAAAAAATATGAAGCGGCTGGAAATATTTCACTTATTTGTATAAGAAAAGAGTATAAGATAGCACAACAACATCAACAACCACAGGAGCAACTGCAACGCAACCAAACAATTTAGGCCGCCGGAAATTGTCACAGCAAATGTAGGAAATGCAAATTGCCGACAACAACAATGTGAATTGATCGCACTGAAATATTTGCACTCTTTTATACTCAAACACATAGTAACACACAAACACACACACAAGATATTTTCGTTAAAGTAGAAAATTGAGAATTTCAATTGGTAGTTATGCGGCGCTTGTTTTTGGCTGTGGTTACTTATGGCTGCTACGTGACTCAAATGCTATTTGGCACTCGCACTGGCTTTGGCACTGATACAACTGTGTTAAAAAATACAATACATTCAAGCAAATAACAATTCTTTTTGCACATGCATGATTAAATGTTTGTTCAAATGCCAAATAAACTTTTTTTGAGCGAATTGTTGTACTAAATTTATAATCGTTTGAGTGTCTTACAAAACTATTTTGGTCGTGCATGCACTCAATCCACAAACTGTATTCAACTATCATGTAGCATAAATGTTACTCTTCTTTCTTCTTTTTTTTTTTTGCTGTTACTATTATTATTGCTTGTGAGTGCTTGTGAGGAGTATTATTGTTAGTGTAATTGCTATTCTTGCTTCTCATAGTTCATTTCGGTGTTTTAGATTTTCCTATTTGCTACCTATGCCAAGTATCCTATTGTCATGCATTTTTAACATGTTGACAATGACAAATTACTATAGGAAAGTCCTTGCTATTCAACTTTTAATTTGATTTTCACACGTAACTAGCACATTTTCTATTTGATTTTTTATTGTTTTTGTTTTTTGTAGAAATTTTTGCAAAAGTTCTGAATATTATTGAGTTAATTGCATATGTACATGGAAGTGAGATTTTAATTTAAATTCAAGTTTATGTCATTAGTTAAGTGCAGGAAATGATCAATGGATATTTATGTCAGTCGTATTCTATTCTATCTCCAACATGAAAATTAATTGTTGCCCTACGGATATATGGTTACAAGTTAGACAGAAATTGTTTATCTATTCGTACAATTAAAAGTGAA